AATATGACTGTAATAAGAAACGGGCGTATGTTGATGACCTAAAATATCGCCAAAAATGATCGAAAATGTTTTTAAAATGCTTTAAAAATGACTTAAAAACAAAACAATGACATAAAAGAATTGGATTAAAACCACTTCAGATGAACAGCTCAAGCTGGTGGGTATGTTACTGACGTAATCGAGGCTTCTTCCTTTTGTTCGAGTGAACTCAGGTTGCAAACTTCTGGTTTGTATTGTTTTATAAAAAAGTTAAAAGAAAAGCTTTGCCTTTATATATCGCGAAATTGGCCGAACTTACAATAGCACCGATAGGAACACAGGAACTTTCGATTGCATATCACTCACAACGGTTGACATTACAGTGAAGAAACAGAGTAGGCTACATTGGAATTCTGTAGTGAACATTTGTTGCACCTGGTATGTATGTATTAATATGAATTAAAAATTATGTAAAAAGTTAAAAAAGACTTATTAGTCAAATTGACGAAAACGCAAAAAAAGACGTATAAAAATAGGTAATTTCGTTTTGTCGTAGCATATAATTAATTTCTATACTAAACGGCATTATTCTAAATTGAAAAGAAAAAAATGACATTTAATTAAAATCCATTCCCTAGTAACATATAATGTACTCGTACTTTAGCTTCAGGGTCAATGACCCCCATCACGATAGGTCCAGTTACCCTGATTAATTGAGCAAATGCTGCCCTCTTTTGCTTTTCGAGATAAATGTAACTTCATTAAGGGTACGTTTTGTGGAGCCTTCCTTTTGCTATTTGAGATAGAAGTAGAGCCGGAGCTGCGGGTAGCTATTTTATTAGCAATACATTAAAATAAAATCATTAGTTTTTTTCAGATTGAACTTCTCCCATATACGTCATATTTGTTCCACAAATTGCCAACAAATCAGAAATAAGGATTCACAAATCAGAATAAGGAAATACGTCGATTTCAAAAGTAGCAAGAGCGAAATATGTATACTCTTATTATGTTCAAATAATTGTACAAAAATTACAATAATCTTGTTCTGAAATTTCCAAAGTGAAAGCTAGCTCTGAAGAGCCGCATAGCATGTTGTCACATATGTTTCATAAAGTGTTCACTATAATGAACCGCAGTTAATTGCATATAACCCGAGCGACTGGAGGAAAGAGTTGTAATTAAGTATAATTGCAACGAACCCTTACATGATTGATCGATTTTTTTACCGGGCAGATATTTTGCTATGGTCATAAGTCCCGTTATATAGTGATTGTTTTTTACCCCGGGATTTGGCTGTGAATATATCGTTGGAATATAAGACCCGGTGTCGACCTATACGCTGTCTTGTTATCTCCACTACGTCCAGATATCATCTCCAGCAACGCACCGTAACAACCGGGATGACCACTAAACTGATAGGCAAAACCTAAGAAAACTACCCGTCAGAAAAAAAAAACTGTCAGCTAGAATTCAAATCGATAGCGGTAGAATTCGACCTAAATTCGAAAATCCGACCCCGTCGAGACTCGAAACCTGGGACCTCCTGGTGAGAGTCGCTGCAGATGCAATGGTAGTTCTGGTTCGGATATAAATTAGTAGATGAACCCTTGCAATTGAGTAGCACACACTATTTTTTATACTAAGATATTGGAAATTTTGCTAATAGTTTTAGTTCGTGACAACCAATACTAACAGAAAATTACTTCTGTCAATTTTTGGAACAACTGAATAACGGTGGAATTTTGCGAAGCGTGCGAATGGTTACTTTCCGTAACATCTTTGCGTGCTGAAATTAATTTCTTACATGTTTTTAATACAAGTTGGTCTTAGCTCTTAAAGGGGCTGAAACAATATTTTCTCAATGTTCCAGAAGCAAAAGTAATTTACATTCATATTTTTCTCCTAATCTCATTTTTTTTCTCCGCAGTTACAACGATTCATAGCCTGGTCCCCCAAGCAACTTATCCATTAAATATCTTGAAATTAAACTTCACAGAATACTATGACAGAAGAAACACGTGCGCTTTGAAATCAAAGAAGCTAATATAATTCAACTTCCATAAAAGCGCATTCCGACGTGTCAAGCAATCATCGACTACCAATTTTTCATTCCTACTCTGTTCGGATCAACGCTTGTCTGAGAACAGTCATCAAGCTCCAACATTTCCGATACAAATTTCTGCGAACTTTAGTAAATGGCCCCTGGTGTTTCAATAACAAAATCGTCCATAACAATCTTTCCCTAGTACTCATTGCACCCCACCTCACATTTGTTCATCCATTTAATTTCAATATTCCCAACGAGTCTGATGGCAGCTTCCATAAGCATGGTTTTACTTTTCTACCACTTCCTTCGCAATTGTTTGCAATTCCACATACTCCTGAATCGATCTGCAGAAATAGTATAATTTCATAAGTCCTCTTCCCATATTATATCCCTACAGACATGGAAAATCTAGTTCAATTCCCGATCTGGAATTACGTTAGTGTATTTAATAGAGACGATCCCTAACCTATCATCTTCCACAAATATTTACTATGATATAAAAATTTACTAATAACCACTTACTAATTTTCTTACTAAAAATGTACTAACAAAAACTCACTAATCAGCCGTGTTCAGTCATTTATGGCTTAACATCGTATCGTATTTCATGTCTTCAATAATTTAATACAACTACCATAATAATATTTGTTCTCTGTGGCAATTATTGCTTCTCGGTCGTGGTTGTGAGCGCCTTCGCCTTGGGTCGCATCTTCCCTTGGCAGCAACGACAGTGCGCCTAGCGGTATGCGACTGGCTTGGGCCCTGGCTGCGCCCAAGTGACGTGACTCGGTTTTTAACGCCAGCATTCCCCCTCCCGGAGGATGGCCACCGGTACCATCGCTTAATCGACGGCTGCTAAGGTCTCACCACTTCTCTGGCGCCGCGGCGAACGAGGACACGTCTTTTTATGCACATTTTCACTATACCAGGCTTTCTATTCACATCTACGGACGATGAAAATAATAAAAATACTAATTTTTATTGTTAGTAATGTGTGTTACATTTCAATATTTTGAAATTCCAGCACACCTTTTGAAAGAACGGATCTTGCCTTCGAGGTGTTTCACACAAAACATTCATGTTTAATTTAACCATAAAATACTGCACTAAAATCTTACAAAAATAATACAATACAAAAAATGCAATTACAAAACATTTCTTAACCATAATATATATTTTTTAAAAGTTCCAAAAAGAAATGACATACTTAACATTAGCTTACACTAAAATTAAATCAGAGTCGGTCAGCGACTTATAAAGATATGAAATCAGATAAATTAAAATAACTCTTTGTATAATTTTTATTTTGAATTTAAACTGATTAGAGTTGAAGTATTGAGTTTCAAGTTTATTTTTAAAATACCATTGGATAGACTTGGTAATGAGTTCTACGACTGTACCGTGAAGTTGTTAAGATTCTAGGTTCTGGTAAGTGAGGTGTATCTGTGCGTCTCATGTGTTATTTTTGTGAGTTTATTGTAATTTTTTGTTTATTTTTGTGAACATAATTTAGGCACATGTTCTAGCAATCCTTTATGCTTAAAACATTAAAATCTGTAAATAGATGAGAGGTCAATAGAGGGGTCAATAGTCATTCTTAGACACAATTTGATAATTTGTTTTTGGAGCAATTGTAACTGCTGTACATTATTTACAATTTCCTCCCCAGGTTATTGAAACATACTGACAAATTGGTTGCAATAGACTTAGCTTGAATGACAAATAGGAGTACAATATCATAAATTTATAAAGTGTCTGAGGTAATATAGAACAAAGAGAATCGAAATGCATGTTCCATATTAATGTTGATATCTATGAATAATTATATATATATATATATATATATATATATATATATATATATATATATATATATATATATATATATATATCTGACGAAGTCGTTTCACACTGTCAAGCTATTTCGACTCTTTCGAAAATTCATCGCTATGAGGACTTGAACTCAGAGCCACCCGATATAATATTACATTAATTAAAGACAATCGTTCAGAAAAATTAAAATAGTCGGTAAGATATTACAATAACTTAATATTATTGTCTGTAGGTAAAGAAACCTTGTACTGTGCCTTCTAGCATTAAGGGCCACAGGATGTAACGCTTCTGACATCATAATAGGCGGAAGTTCCCGTTTTGGAGAAGTGGTTGAGTGTCCCCTGCTGGAATACAGAAGTGCTGGGGAAGCAAAACGTGAGGGTAGTCACAAAATCACTTTAGCTATTTTATCAGCTGAACAACTAAGTCGTATCCAAGGGAAGAAAATGAGTAAACTTAACCAGAAAATGCAATTTTCCGAGTTGGCCAACTCCGTTTTCAAACGAATAAATTAAAAACAATATACATTATAGTTTGTATATTAAATAAGATGAACCAATAAAATTAATTTAAATAGAAAGTAAATAGTAATTGTGTGACATAATCAATTTATTTTTTCTCCTAAGTTTATCTTAACTCCTTTGGGAAATATGACTAGCCATAAAATGAAATCTTGCCCAAGATCGTTACTGTAATTAATTATTCTTATAATACATGCAATTTATGTTTACTATTCACTAATTAGTGTAATTTCATTTTTTATCAGAATATTGCAGAAAATTCACCTCAATTGACATTGTGACAATCAATTTGAAATCAGAATAGAATGAACTATAAATACTAACAACGACAATCTCTAATAAGAAAATGAAATTCACCAAAAGATGCTATATCTTGACTTACAAATTAAAGAAGGGTTTCAATAACTCCACCTTTACTGATTTGCTCGCGTTCAGTAAACACTCCGCTAAGAATTATCGAAATCCAATTTCAAGTGATTTGTGATTATCGTTGATGTAATATTACTCTTATACAATTAATAAGCAATCTTACTATGTTTTGATAAAACATGACGCGACGTTGGAAAATTTATGCGACTCAACAATTGGTCAATATTCAATACATTTTTTTTATTCAGTATGGTGAATTTTAAACTCGCTTAATGAAAACAATAAATGTCCACAATAAAATGCAGCATTTATAGATTTACATATGTGCATGCAAGTGTATGTGAATCGCTTATGTATTTTTCAAATTGTAAAACGATAGTATAAGCATCATTGAATGTAAAATGAATGACTCATAATTTAAACAGCAATTACGTTAAATAATGCATTATGATTACTGACCATCGCAGACATAATACTTTACTCAGAGTCATTGCTATTACCATTACGAGTTCTCTTAAGCAAGTGTGTGAATATCCCTAAATAATGATGGTTTATAACGTCTCATTATTAACGCACTGAAATAAGTCATATAAAAGCGATTATGAATTTTCCTTGCTAATAAACTACAGTTTCGTGCATGAAAACGTCTATTCCAATAGCTTTATTAAAACATATTGTCTTGTTGATTATTACTTAAATGATTAAAAAGTTTACCGTTATTAAACATCTGTGTTTGTTGATCACCACTAATTTACTATGCTCAATCCAATTCATGGATGGGGGAGCCAAGTAGACATCTCAATTAAATGTCAATCTCAAAGAACGTTTTCATGAATATGTGAAGGAATAGCTTATTTTTAACTCGGCTTGTTTAAGTTGGATTAAGTCGAGTTTTAGTGCTTTTAAGGTAGATATTAATGGTATCGAGAAATACAAATTACAGGAAATATAATTGAAATTGTTGGCTATTTTTAGTTCTTTGGACAGTTAGTAACAAGTTCTTGTTCATTTTTATGAAAATTTTAGTAGTTTTCGCGCAATATTCCGTTTAATTTAAAAAATTACGAAATTAAGATTTTACTAAAAAACGACTCCAAATTTTTTTCTTTAAACTTTTGGTATTGATTGTGCAAAATACATTCTATAACATGACACAAACGCCTTTATTCTTTGTTTTTTTCAAACATTACAAAAATGTAATTATTTACTTGTCTCTCACGTCGTTAATATTTAATTAAGCAGCAATTTGTTCACATTATTATATTTGTGAGTACATGTGCTTTAAATGATGTCAGATAAAGCTTCTCGAATACTCAAACGTTTTCTGTCAAAATTTTCTTAAAAAGGGCTCCAATTGTTTCTTCAAACTTTTTGAACGGATGTTACTAATTGCACACCTTTATACGACGTAAAGTTCATTGGTATTTTTAAAATATCTCTCACGCTATGAATATGCACATTTACATCGGTTTGTAAACACTTTTGTATTTGTGAGTTAATGTGCTTCAAATGACTTCTAATGAAGTTTTTCCAAAACGCAAAACTTTTCTGTGAAAAAGTGCTTCAAATTTCGTACGTACAGTAGCGCTTAAGCGCCATTTTGTTAAAAAGTAGGCCCAAATGTTTCAAAGAAAAGTGTCATTTAGAACACTGTTTTACTGTTCTTCGATATTCTTAAAATAATATTTCCGTTCTATGATTAGTAAACCAAAAATTAAGAAAATGTAAAAAAAGTATTTTGGGCGGCGATAAGTGGCAGCAGGCCAGAGTATGTGACAAGTTCGAATAGCTAGCCGAGACCAGAGGAAATATAAAACTAATACGGGAAAGTCTGTGCCATTATGTAGCACCACTAGTTATTGATGAATTGAGGCAATGGCGGGTCGTAGTGTGGTGCCAGTGTCCATGGCACCACCAACGAAAAGGAATAAAAAGGCAATTTTCACCACAAACATGAGTATAAATTATAGTTTCTTCGAAATATTTTTCTTTTTAGTAGTTCATTTGAAGGAGCGTCTAGCCCTTCGATGCTCTATCAATATGATCGGCAAACGCCTAAGGCGGAGTGCTATCTACCGGCCTTTATCTAAACTGTTGAGCCACCTATGGATTGACTCTATCTCTGCCTATTTAACATTGTATAAAGGACGCTATGTTAGTTTGTATGCGCCTCTTATGAATGAAAAGGAGCCAAAAATAGAATAGGCCCGGTAGTGTATATTCTATCTCATACAGTACTGTAATGACCTCTTGAGATATGGGCGCTCAGACTTTCAGAATGAGTATTTTATTTGATCTTCTTTCTAGTTTGCTTTCAGTTTAATTTTCAACATAAATTAATGAACACTGTCACTGTAAAATTAAATGTTGTTGCCCACGAATACAATGTTAGAAATTATTAAATCAGATTTAAACATCGATCTTCCAAAACATCGATTGTTTTTGATCGATGTTTTGACTTTCAACATAGGTAATTGGTTATATCCATGTTTTGTTATTGATGTCGCACCACGAACTACCACCTCCAATAGAATTCCGTACCGTCCGCCACTTGATTGATGTTGCAAGGCGCGTCGGCTGCTAAGTCATTATTCAATAAAAAGCGTTTCCAGTGTTTTCATGACAATCATTTATTGGCAAATAGCGCGACGTTTCGTAACTTGATTGGTTACATCATGAGGTTATTAAAATTATGAGAAAATATAGAAAAACACTATCCATATCCAAATGTCAAATTAATACAAAATGTCTCATAAGTAAAAAGTTAAATTACAAAGGTTAATACATTCCATTTTCCTTAAGACCAAATATATTATTTATAAATATATATAGAAATTATTTTAAAATGATAAAATGTTAAACAAGTAAGGACGGAATAAATGTCTTAAAAGACATTGGGATTTGTCGAGTAAGTATATTTACCGGAAGATGGTCAGAGTAGAGTTCGTGATAAGGAGTTGAGTAAAAATTGATATTGCCGTCAGTCAGTCCGATGTCAAGGATGTCTAGTTGCTTAGTTACGTCTCTTGGGTAGTATGTTCGTTCAGGAGGCGATAGTATATTGATAGGGGTATTGTTTATAATTTGTATTAGTATTTTTCCTGCTTGATTGCAAGTGCGACATCCCCAGTTTGTGTGTTTAGCATTTAGATCACCTAGTATTAATGTTTTTTTGTTTGGGGTAAATAGATTAAGAATATTTTGGGGTTGTATTTTTATTGATGGAGGTTTATAGGCAGTTATTATATTCCATGAATCATTGTTCATTGATAGGGTTATTGCTACTGTTTCAATTCCTGTGATGTTTGGTATATTAATTTCATGATGGATTATATTATTCCTGACTGCCATAAGTACACCACCTCCTTTATGTTGTTGTTCCTTATGTTCCTTTATGTTACTACTATTGTTTAGGTGCGTCTCTGTTATGCACGCAATGTCTATGTTATATGTGTGTAAACATTCAGTAAGTTCTATTATTTTGGATGTGATCCCATTTGCATTCCAATTTGTTAATGATATATTTCTATGAGCTTGTATTGACGTTATTGTTATTAAAAAAATGTCGTTACTGTATTCTGAATAGTATTGATTACTGATGGTATGAGGGCGTTTATGAAGTTTATAATACGGGACGATATGAAATTAATTATTGTATTTAAAAGGGTATTATTATTATTATTATTATTATTATTATTATTATTATTATTATTATTATTATTATTATCATCTTCTTGGTATTGTTGAGTATGGTTTATCTGTGATCTCACATTGTTAACAAACCCTGATTAGTTTACAGGGTGGATGTTCCTAGTGAAGTTTCGGATTGTCTGGGTAGGGGGTAGTGATGGAAATTGTTCTTCTTGGTTGCTAAGATGGTGGTGTTCTTTGGTATGGATTTCTTGTGTTATTGGGTGGGGTGGTTTTCTTCTCAACAATTTCCTTATAGTATAAACAGTTCTCATATCTTACATCTGGTCGGTGATTGCCTTTGCAGAGAATATAGGTGGGGTTTGCTTTACTTTCAGGACAAGTTACAGTATAGCGATTACCAAAACATATTGCACAATTAATTTTGTGATTACAATTGTTTCTAGAGTTTCCAAAGTTCAAACATCTATACTGTTGTAGTGGACCTTTTGGTCTTTTTCTTTTTTCTGCTGTGACTTTGAGGTTGCAGATTTGATTAATGTTAAGTTCCAGTGGTTCATTGCCGTTGAACTCGGCTGCTATTACAGGGATGGGATGACTGTCCTTCTGAAGACGGGTGATTTTAACAATGGATGGGTGTCTTTGTTTTAAATTTTGCATGATTTCACTGTCAGTTATGGAGAGGTGGACATTTTTTAATACTACCGAAAAGTTTTTGTTTGCAGGGTCTTGGTAGGAGTGAAATCTTCTATTTGTATTGACTAAGTATCTTATGATGTACAGAAATCTTCAACTGAGCCGACATTTATTTTCACTTTGTTGTTTTTTTGTTCAGCTACGAAGTTTTTTGATACGTTAATTTTAATTTCATTAACGAATGAGTTGATGTCAGTTATCTCGGCAATAAAAATTGGGGGTATTTCATTGGTTGTAGTAGACTGTGAAGTTTGTCATACTTTAGGTAGTTAAAGCTGTTATCTGGAGGAAGAGAATTGGTTTCCTTGGAAGCTAATTCCGTAAATCTGTTACCTACTGGGACATTGTATGAAGATTGCAAGTCTATACTCTCATTTCTATAGTTGAAGTTTTGAGCTATGGAGCCTATTGGAACATCGTAACTGTCTGTGGGTGGTACACTGGCTAAGTCTGGTAGTCTCTGTCACTTGCACTGTGTTTTTTGTTATCGCTGTTGGAAGCGTCCTCGCCTACTGACCTTTTTCTTTGGTTGACGGTGGCTTCTACCTCATGCCGGCAAGCTAAGGTTACGAGCGTTGTGCCTTGCGATGGGTCTTGATAACATGAAGTTTCTGATGTTGAAGATTCCTTGGCTGAATCCTCGTTCGTGGCACTTTCACTGTGTGTAGTAGGAAAATTGTTGAAATTGCTTTGCAGAATACCGCTGGAGTTGTCTAGCACGTAAAGAGCATGGTGACTACGTTGCCTGTTGATTGATTCACATCGAATGCCATTGGTGAAAGGTATTTGATGCACTGGATTAACAATATAGTTCACTTATTACGAAGCACTTGAAATACAAACTGGTTTGTCGGTATCGGGCGTACCCGTACCGACGCTAACGTTTCGACTTTTACGAGCTCTCAGCTATGTGAATGGCTCGGTGGACAGAACTCGAATGTACTAGTATTTTGTACAAAAACGAATCGACTCCCATCAAGAACATAAACGCCAGTTAGTTCGTATTAAAAATATGAGCTTTAAAATGTAAAAAAATTGGGTTAGTTAATAGTAAGGAAAATTGTGTGTAAACTGCTATTGGAGATAGTTGCAACCCATATTAGTAGCAATTGCCCTCGTATTCTTTACGAGAAAATATATATGTAAATAAATAAAATGAACGTGAATACAATAAACTAAAATGGATTCTGAAAAGTTCAGAATTGCATGATTCTGGAAAACAAAAAAATCGTAATTGAAAAACCATGAAAAAATATCAAACTATTTTGGAATATGAATTGGTTTATTAAAATACTGAATATTTACATTTTACTAGCAAATAATACTTTGGCGTCGAGAGTTTTTGGCAGTAGTGTGGCAGTCCACACGTTCAAAAATTCATAGTTGCTAAGTGAAAATATGCTTGCAGTTAATATGTGAAATTTATAATACTTCATATATAGAGCATCGCAGATGAAATAACGTTTCCACCAATGTTTCCTTAGACTAGTGCTTCAGTGAAGCTAGAAATACTAATGTAGATGTACACATTAACCTTAAAATCTGACTTTCTTTTGTTCCTCACTACTGGGAAGCGGATTTCTACGATTTTGCATATTTTTTTCCGTTGCTTCAGGATATAGCCATGTGAAATTTCTTAAAATTTGGTTGGAATTTGAAATTATGTAGTTTAATACGTTAGTGCATATTTTGCCTATTTTTCCTGTTGCTGCATATTCGTGTAATTATAAGCACATACTTTGCATATTTCCTTTAAATAGAGACGTGTCTCTCAAACTGTTGCATCTCATCATATAATATTTTTTATTTGTGAGCGTTCATTAATTTGAAAGAGCTTATCACAGTTTGCGATTTTTTTCTTTTTCTTTTCTATAGATGATAAAATACTTGGACAAATGGAGGTTCTTGATATCATATTTTTTAAATCAGGCAGAAGAAATGCAACAAGACATACTAAACTTCAATTATTGTGTATTAAAGTGCATTTTTAAGAATTTTTAGGACATAAAAACATATTTCAAGATTTATAGGGCATAAAAATCCTCTCCCTAGTTACAACTTTGAGTATGAAACACACGAAATAATGATTACGTTTATAAAATTAATAGAAATATATAATTTAAAGTTTTATAAATTATTCCATTTAACCAATAAACTGGACCAAATAGTCACAATTAATTCACCTTAATGAAAGACAAACATCAGTTAAATTTGTCTAGACTGAAATAAATGTCACTTCAAGATTTGAAAGTTAAGTTGATGGTTGATCGTGGAAAGGCGTCTCACACAAAGCCTTTTAGGATATTCATGAAGCATATAAGAAAAAAATGTACTATATTTATATTTTACATAACATTTCATTAACAAACAAAAACACTTAATTTGTCAGTCCATGTGCAAATGACCTCACTGGCTTTCTCCCCCCTTCCTATTCCACAGCCCCAGGAGTAAAGCTTCACTTCCTGCATTTTGGCCCGTGGGGCAGCGCCACACGTAATTCCACGCAGGTCGTCGTCCTGGTGCCGGGCAGCGCAAGAGCGATTGCCCGTCGGGCGAGGGCGTTAGACCGGGCGGCCGCCGCGCTTGTCGTCGCCGCTGAGGGCGTCCTGGATCTCCTGCAGCGTCTTGCCCTTGGTCTCGGGCACCACCGCCAGCACGAAGGCGAAGCCCAGCGCGCACACCGCGGCGAAGAAGAAGAAGGTGACGCCGCCCAGCGCGTCGTTCGCCGGCGGGAAGGCGAACGTCACCGCGAACACGATCACCCAGTTGAGCGTCACCGCCAGCCCGCTCGCCGTGCCCTTCACCTGCGCACAGGCCGCCGTTCCTTGTTCACGGACGGGTCGTTTGCTTTGCCCGGCGGCAAATGTTTCACACTTTCTATACAAGCACATCTAACACAATTAACAGCACTAACATACAATACAATACGTAGTATAATATTATTTCATTTTAGGCATGCCTACTAAATGCAGAGGCCCTTCACAGATTACTTATCTTATCGCTTACAACTCTATTACTAGAATTTAATTTTAACCTAAAAGTCTTGATGTTTCTGGCAAAAGTCTCCATTAGAACTGCAGGCAAGCTATTCCATGATTCGATTGTCCTATTTACGAAAGAGTATTTTTCAACATCAGTTCTCTGTTTCCTTGAACATACTTTTCTTATATGGTCCTGACGTGCCAAGTAAACGGGTTTCCCGAATTTACCTCCATGCCGGATTTTTCTCTAATGCTTTGTAAAATACATATAACCTTGCTTTTCCCTACGGCTTGCCAATGATTCCCTTGTCGATACTTTGTTGAAATATTTCCTAACACTAATTTAACAAATTTTGCTAAATTGCAGGGCATCATCGGCACCTCTGTTGCAGAAACTTTGGGGGTGGGGTGGAATCAAAGCACGGGATTGAAATGCCTCCGCAGAATTCTAATTAAACACACTACATTTTGGTATTGATTTATTGAAGTAAGCAAGGTACACACGGTGATTTGAAGAAGGTCGATCTAACCTAATCATGAATTCAGGGGCTTGGGGTAGTAACAAAATAAGGTACACCAGACACAAAAAGACTCAAGCTATTTGCTTATTTTAATACCTCAATTTTAGCTGAAGTATGTCTCATATTGTTTCTTTACCGTGCCTTTCACAAGTGTGAAGAAGAGGATCATCAATAGAGAAACTTCAGACGGTACAAAACAAATGCCTTAGGAAAATCATACAAGCACCCTGGTTATACCCCAATTCCCAGAATACATGGGAGCTACTGTAATGGATTAATCAAAGATCACCATCTCTACAATTCGAAATGTTTTATACTTATTCACATCCATTTCTCACTTCACAAATACTTTAACCTAGGACGAAAGTGCTGTGCACCCCTGCCGCATCAAATCCAAATTCCAAAAGATAATTTCGCCGCCGTAAACACATGATATAACCAATTCAAACATCCAACCTAACATTAAAGGTATGTAAATTTTATAATAAACAAATAAATCATCCCAATCCCAATCAACACATTTAAAAAAAAAAACGGAAGCAGTGATGTCAAGCTCAAAATGCCAAGGATGCCTATTCCTTAACAATGAAAAAATCTATTGTATCCAAGCCCTTGAAAGGCCACATGGCCGAACAAGAAGAAAATAAATGAAAAAAAAGAAGAGGTTAGGAAAGGAAAGGTTAAGGAAACAAGACACCGACATTCACCGCCGTTTTTAAATTTGCGTTTATTTCACGGAAAATTACACGAAAACTACTCATATTTTGAAAAATATATTCATGACCTCACTTATAGATTTAATTTTGAAGAACAGATTTCATTAAGCAAAAATATCTATCTTCAATACTATAGTTGTAGGAAGACGCCGAAAAAATTAAACGTTTGAAATTTTCGAAATAGAGTTCAACAAAAATTACACCCACGCCATTTTTATAAACGTACTTCTATCTAAGAAAAAATAAAGAAAACATTTGAAGATATAGATTCTTAAACGTCCTTAAGATGTCATGTAAAGTACTTCAAAAATCAAAATAACCGTTCCAAATTCAAGGAGCATCAGCTACATCGATTGGAAAATATGGATGTTGGTGAAAATAGTTGCTAAAACTACTAGCGGTGTTCAGGGAAGATTTTTTTGGTAACAAGGTCCCTGAAAACGCGGATTCTGACTGCATAACCTATGAGAGGACATTATTTAAAGATTTATCCACTTTTCGGTATGACAGGTCCACAAAAAGAACTTTCATGTCACAAAATTTCAATATTTTGCTGTAGTTTAATAATACTATCTCTAAACTACGTAAGTAGTATGCTAGAATGTAAAAGCACGAATAAAATTTTACGAGAAACAGAATTATACAGTAAAATGTTTATTAAGCAACCGCAATTGATTCATTGGAAAAAATTGTATTTATGAGAGCTGTTTGCTTAATATGTGATTTATTTTGAAAAATATTGTCTATTATTATCTGGACATGGGATATTTAGAAAAGTGCATATTTCGTCGTATCTTTATGAAAGGTTTTGTAGTATACGAGTGCGAATTATGAAAAATAAAACATTTTTACTGTTTGAAGTTTTATTTTGCCTTTTGACGTTAATGGCTTTTTAGAATTGTTTACTAACTTTTTAAATGCATTAAAAATATTTATGGCTAATCTTATGTAAAAATTAACCTTTAAATCATTTTCGGTTTTAGTACTACTAAAACTTGTCTATCAGTAACGAGTCTCTATAGTCTTGGATAGACTCAATACGTCAGTTGGGTACGCACGACACATTCTATGTCTTAAGAGCTCTTTCCTCGTAATTCTTTGTACAAAAAATTTAACCCGATGGGTATTGGGTGACCGCGGGGCTCAGATTCCGGGCGCAACATAAACACTCCTGTTACAGAGCAATTCGATAACCCTGGCTTCCAACAAAGATATTCTACCACACCAAATGTTCTTTCAGAATGGTAATTCAAAGAATTGTGTTAATTAAGGAAATTCAAAGATCTGCGAAAATTCAAAGAATCAAATGTTAGGACGTGTTCATAAATGAAACAAATGCAGAGAGGAGCCGCGATATCATATCAGTGGCCGCGGTTTGTTGCTACTTGATTCCTCGTTATCCTCGATGGTGAAGATGAGGCACAGGATTCATCCCATGGTATCCTCCAAATAAACCCATAAAATATCTTGGACTGCACATGGACACCAAATTGAACTGGAAACAGCACATAGACATCAAAATAATACAAACCAAAAACAAATTGCATCAATTAAAAACTCTAATAAACAGGAAAAATTACCTCCCATACAACACAGCAATAACTTTATTCAAAACAATAATCAGACCTACTCTTCTCTACGCCTGCCCAGTATGGATCAATGCTGCAAAAACAAACATCAACAAAATTCAAATAATACAGAACCAATTCCTCCGTACAATCACTAATGCACCCTGGTTCATATCTAATCATCAATTACATAATGAATTCAACCTCGATCCCATCATGCACCACATCACCTACCTATCCCACAATTTCTTCTCAAACACACACCATATCCAAACCTTATCTTCATTTAATCTTTGCAAAAACCCCATCCATCCCACTCGTATCAAAAATAAATACCCATTCCATATATTTTGTAAATTGCTCTCAGATCTGGAATAGTTCTTATGAGGTGCCCTTAGGGTTTCCTCAACCTCTGTAATAGTATTAAGTTAGGATAAGTTTAGGATAAGTTAAAAATTATAAGTCATCAATACATATGTAGAGTTATTACAAACTGAACTATGTACTAAACAATCAAATAAATAAATAAATAAATAAATTAAAAAAAAAATGAGGCACAGGACATGCCTCACGACAGGTCCCGCGAATGCTTTTTACAACGTCGCATCATTGTTTTGTTTTCATTGCTAAAAATTAGGTGAACACACTTCTTCTCCTGAAAGTGGTCTCTTAAAAGATGTAAATTAACAAAATTTCTATTAAGAGGCTTGTTGCTAATCGAAGGAAGGGATGATGTGCGAACAGGCATACGAAGAATGACCTGGCAACATTGCACATGAATTTCTGCGCCCGAACCAGAAAAATGGTTTGTTCGTTGAAAGAGATGTTCTTTTTAATAGGGATGGTTTTTCAGAGAGGTTTCATTGTAAATGTAAATGTGATAAAGGAAAAGTTCAATTCACTTGAAATCATTTTATAATGAAAAAATTTTCAACACTAGTGATTGGTAAAAATTTAATTGTTGGAATTATCCTCTCATATACTATGCCACTAGTGAAGATGAGTTTTGCAGCTCTCGCAACAAATCTTTACAAATGCTGCTTCTAAAGAAAGAGAATTTCACGTAGTCGTGACGTATTAAACTTTCAGTTCAAAATTACTATATTTACATATTTTCAAGTATATGTATTTAAAGCAAATGTTAAAATATTTGGATGACTGAAATAATTATTAAAAATAAAAGGAAACTATAAAATACAATAATATAACAAATTATAATGTTGCTGGCGCGAATTGTCAAAAGAGCTGGCAGCGCTACTTACTCGACTCTTGCATCGAATCTTGCATTACTCTTGCGCTACTTGCATCGACTCTTGCATTAACACACCGGCATATCAACGGAAAGCAAATTGGCATTCGGGTGCTGCGATATCTCTGAGGAGGAGCGAACGCCGTTCCCTATGTGTCTTTTTATGTTCATCTACTAAAAAGGATCTCAATCTTTTGAATGTCTCCTAGATCTAGAAGTCCTGTTCTGGATGGAATATATGGGGTTATGAGCATACGCCAGAAGCACAACCCTTGCCTTAAACGAATATGAAGCCTTTGGTTCTGCGTTTTTGGATGCAACACAAAATTCCTGCACTTCGGACTCTGGTCAGGAAACAAACTGGGCTCTTTCATTTCAAACTGGAATTTCCAGAGAAATTAATTCAGTACAAATAACACCGGTGCGCCATGCTCTTTCTTCTAAAACAATTACTGAATTGATAATTGGAACGGATTGATTGATTGGTGATACCGTCAACTGCTAGGTTTATTAGCACCATAGTTGTAGTACGTTTTCATCCCGGGATGGGGCGGTGAAATCCCCCTGCTGGATGGCGAGATCCGGTGCCGACCGAGGTCGCTTGTGGGGATTTTCCCCAACCAGGTATCTACCATCAGCGGGGCACCTCCCGGCCACAACAAGCTCTGAGATCCTGACTGGTCGTCCGACAAGTATTTTAATGTAATGCATGTGGCTGTGAGGGTAAGAGATGAGGATATGACAAGGAATGGGAAGGAAAGATCGCGTGCGGTTCGTGGACCGTTTCTTAGGGTACTACTCCGGCATTCGCCTAGTGTTAATCACGGAAAACTACCGATCAGAGTTTCCAGCAGCTAGAATTCTCCTCCATTCAGCAGCTGCACTCGACCTAGATAGCTAGTGTCGAATATCCTGCCACCACCGGGTGTCGAACCCCGGTCCTTACGGTCAGAGGCCCTGCAGTGATATCAGCTGAGGCCCTGAGCCACATCTCGCGGTGCGAAGATGCCCAAGATCGGGAAATGGCCGAGTGAACCGCAAGGTGCCGACACCTCCCCCCTCACACACACACACACACACACACACACACACACACGCGCGCGCGCATCTAGGCGTCGCGCGCGGACGCACCTCGGGCGCGAAGATCTCCCCGAGCATCATCCAGGGCAGCGGGCCGCAGCCCAGCGAGAAGGCGATGATGAAGACGCCGACGGCGACGAGCGCCAGCCAGCCGGGCAGAGCGTCGGGCAGCTTGAGGCAGAGGCCGAGCGTGGCCTGGCACAGCGCCATCAGCCCCGCAGACACCAGCAGCAGCGGCCGCCGCCCGGCGCGGTCCACCAGCGACGCCGCCGCCAGCGTCGCCACCACCTGCACCACGCCCACGATGATCGCCGCCACGGCGTCCGGGATGGTGCTGCCCGCGTTCTGCAACACGCGAACGCACTCGTCGGGGGGACGGAGTCGAATCAATCCTACTTTTGTTTACATTTTCACTAATGCAATATTAGAATGCATCAGGGGCAAAAGTTGGTACAAAGAACAAGAACCTCGAAATTAAGTGTTCAGAATTTGCTGATTGTTCAAGAAAAAGAAACAGCGGAAAAAGCAGGCTTGGAGATTTCGTTTAATAAAACTCAAATTATGACAAGTAATCATAAATACACCAAGAAGACAGTAAAAACAAATTATGGGAACATCAAGGTTACTGACCGGTTTAAATACCTTGGAGAATTAATTAGCAGAAATGGAACGGATACAATGGCTAATGAACTCATAAAACCGACAGTTGTTAGACCAGTCATCTTGTATGGCATGGAAACTACAAGAATAATTCGAAAGGAAAATTTGCTAAAGATAGAAAAAAATTAAGAAGTATTTATGGTCCAAGAGAAACACAAGAAGGTTATAGATTGAGATCTAGTGCAGAAATTAAAAGTAAAACGAAAACCTTTGAAGTAATGGTTAGAAAACTACGACTTTAGTTCTATGATATATGGTCCGCAAGGATCAATCAAGGTTAAACAAATTAATTTTTGATAAAATCTGCAATTACAAAGGTCAAGGAGGCTATGTCAAATAAATGTAGGAAGAAATACGAAAACTTAAAATTACTGAACAAGACTGTCTAAATCGATAAGAATATAGAAACAAAATTGTTTATCTGAAATGTATTGTCGGTGAAAACATGAACAGAGGAGAACGGACTGCTGAAAGAAGAGCTGCGCAGTCGAACAGGAAGAAGGACTTCTGGAAGACAAAGAAGAAAACTACATGAAGTGATATTTTCGTGGTTCATGTTGGCCTGTCCACGTGTATATGATGGGCGCGTGAAATATGATGTAGAATTATGGTAGTTTTTATAAATGCTTAATTTCTGGCGGAACGCGACGGAACAGCGTTCCGGTATCCCGGGAACATAATAGGAAAAAACAAATGACAAACTGAGAGCAAACACTTGGCATCTTCCTATTTTTAGTTCGACCACCTTTCGTAAACTCAAAATTAAATAATTTTCACTTATATGTGTGCTTTCCACAAAAGAAAGTGAATTTATAAGTAATTAAGTAATAAGTAATAAGTTTATCCCCTATTTTTATCACTATTTTCTCATACAGTCAGTGTTGCCAGTGTTACTAATTGTTTGAATCATTTTTTTTATAATTATTCAATTATATCACATATAACTTTCGATTAAATTAAAAATGAAGTTGGAGCGGGTTTCGGGAACTAAAATTTTATAAATCAAGCACTGTTTTTTATTACATAGTGTAGTTTATAACTTCAATGAAATAGTTTTTCCACAAAAATGAGGTTCGCATCTTAACTTCGCATCTTAACTTTTGTATTGAATTCAAGTGTTTAATTCTACTGAGAAGAACGTTGCAAAATAACACGAAAACTTTTAATGTGGATTTTTATGAAATTTGCCATTGTTTCATTGATAAGCTTTTTTTGTCGTTATTTAAGGTCGCATCAACATCTAGATCGTTAGCGATCACTATTGCATTTAAAGGTATGGTAACTGTGAAGATGACATGAGATGATGATGATGATGATGATAGGGGAGATGACGAACACAAATACAACCATCCCCGATGAGGGACTCGAATTAGAGTTTGTGTTCCTATTTTATCGTTTTTTACTTATAAATTTAATTACGTTCGTGGAAAGCACACAGATAAGTGGAAAATTATTTAATTTTGTGTTTACGAAAGGTGGTTGAACTAAAAATAGAAAGTTGTCTAGTGTTTGCTCTCAGTTTGTTGTTTGTTTTTTTCCTATTATGATCCCGGGGTACCGAAACGCTGTTCCGTCGCGTTCCGTCAGAAATTAAGCTCTGATAAAAACTAACATAATTATACATCATATTCTATGCGCCCATCATATACCGCGGACAGGCACACATGGACCACCGCCAAAATATCCCGCGATCTTTTGGTCCGAGATCGCTACGGCATCACCACCTTACGCCCTCGGCCATCCGGACCGGCGACAAGCATTTCGATGTCGTTGGCAGCCCCGACTCTTCGGCGCAGCATGTACCTCGAAAATGTCCTGGCAGTAGAAGATGACGGCGTTGATGCCGCCGAGCTGCTGCACGCCCATGAGCCCCAGGCTGATGAGCAGCGCCTTGCGGCGCGCCACCGACGACACGAGGTCGCGCAGGCTCTTGCTGCCGCCGCTGCTCTCCTGCGCCACCTCCTCGCGCAGCTGCCGCAGCGGCGCCTCCACGTCCGCCCCGGCGCCGCGCAGCACGCGCAGCGAACGCCGCGCGCCCGCCTCGTCGCCCTTGCGCACCTGCACCGCGCGCCACGCTTAGTGTCAACTGCTGTGCTCTAAAGCGTGCTGCGTGTTGTGTTCCGGGAGACGGCAGTGTTCCTCGACAATGGAACGTGAAATCCGGGGCAGACCTACACGTCAGCCCATGGTTTCCCTCTTCCATGTGTTATTAACAGTACCGCCCCCCCAGTGGGGATAGGTTCTTACCTCCCGACTGGCCTCCCGATCTGTGTTATTGTTGAGTGTGAGTCTAAGAGTACGTCTTAAACGGGAGGGATGGTAACAAAGCTGAGGGAGGAAAGATGGTGCGCGGCCCGTGACACAATTGTTTAGGTTCTGAATCCGGCATTCGCCTGGTATTGATCGCAGAAACCACGTCAAACTATCGTTCGGAGCAGCCGACCCCTAGAATTCTTCAGACAACGGCTGAATTCCACTGTGCTATCTAACTAGTGTTAAATGTCCCGGCGGGACTCAAACCCTGTCGGGACTCAAACCCTGCAGGCAGAGACTGTAGTATCTGTGATTGCTGCCCTGAGTCCTGCAACTTCACTCTTGCATTTCATCTATGATTTAATGGGTACCTACCTCCTCCTTAATGTGTTTACCCCCTCCCTGACTTAATTGCACCAGCTTAGGTGGCTCAGGGCATCAATTAATGTCATTACAGTACCTGCGGCTGGGAGGTCTTTGAGTTCAAGTCCCGACGATGGCAGAACTTTCAACTTTGCCTACACTATTAAGTTCATTTCAGCCACTATCTGAAGGATTCTACCGGTCGGCTGCTCTGATCCGTATTTTTCCCTGGTTTGTCAAACCATCAGCGGGCGAATGTCGAAGAAGTACCCGAATATATGGGCAACGGAAAGCGCACGATCTTTCCTTCCCCTATCCCCATCCCTTATTCACACACGCACACACACACACACACACACACACTCACACACACACACACACACACACACTTAGATGCATTATACTACCACACCAGTCGGGTGCTTAGAGCTAGACCCAGCTGAGGCGGTGCCTTGCTGGTGGGAGATACTTTGTTTTGGAATATCACTCAAGCTGACATGTAGGTCTTCACCAGATATCATTGTCCAGCTAGGAAAGAACACCTCCATCCCATGATTACATAATACATGCACTACACTTACGGGACTAAAAAACTTTTGTTAATGCGCTCGGAAACTAATCAATCAATAAATCAGAGTTAATGGCAATTTTAACATAATTTATCGTCATTGTTATTATAAATAGAGATGGTAGTATTGTTATTATTAATTAATAGTATTGCTGTAATAACGTCCAGCTAGGAAAGAACACCTCCATCCCATGATTACATAATACATACACTACACTTACGGGACTAAAGAACTTTGGTTAATGCGCTCGGAAACTAATCAATCAATAAATCAGATTTAAGGGCTATTTTAACATAATTTATCGTCATTATTATTATAAATAGAGATGGTAGTATTGTTATTATTAATGAATAGTATTGCTGTAATAACACAATTCACAGCTCTTTGGCTGGTTGTTACTCCACTGTCTTCTGGTGCTACCTAAAAATCCAGATATATACGCAGAATGTGAGGGGTGCCCTGGAATGTGATATTTTGATATTTTGCAATTGCGAGTGGAAGTCTCCAGAACACGCTTGATAAGACGTTTCGCCAGGCCTCTGAGTATAGCCCGTTGTGACCCAAATACAATTGACACAAGCATGATCCATCATTTACAGAGTATTTTTGTCAATCTGTGGAGATCACATTTCGTTATTTTTTATCTCGTGATCCACTCTGGAATCTGAAAGGAGGTTTTCTTCTTCTTCTATTTATTTTTCGTATTCATTTTGTTCTTGTTTTAAATATGCATATTGATATCGTTATTAATATTATTGATGCTATTAATTATTAATAATTAATTTTGTTATTATGATACTCCATACAACGCTACAGTATATGCGGGTCTTGGCCAGATACGTGTAAGGGGTAAGAGAAATTAATTTCTACAACATGGATGAGCTGTTTGGTAAAACGACTAGATCCATCTGGTCTGGATATTACATGTTAACCACGTGCGGGAAATGTTTCCTTATTTACATTCATCCACATGAGATAACGAAACAATGCGTCAGAAATTTACAAATCCTGCTTCCCATTTGTGTTTCACAGGCACTTATCTGAGAACAGGTCTTTGGCACGTATTCAGTCCGATGAGGAATGAAGAACTTTGTTGTGCTCCAGCATATTCAGAGGAAAATATTTTTCAAATACAAACCAAAAACCCATTCATCTTATTTTTCCCTCCTGTTTTCAATTTCTGTCAACGCCACCTCTTTCTCTTCTCGACCTCTCTGTCTGTTATCTCTTTTTCTCTACCCCTTCACGTATTTCTATCAGCCCTCTCCTCCATTCACATTAATTATGATTCCTCTCTTCTCTTCCCCTTCTTCCCTAAGCGTTGTCTATCATTTACTCGCTATCTCTCTTCCTTTTTCCTCTGTCTTACGTGAGTATCGAGAGGTGTAAAGGTTAAAGCACTTTTCTGAAAAAACAAATTTCACAGTTTTCTAGATTGCATTTCATTTGTGGGTAAATTATTTATAGTACAATGTTATATCTTAGCATTTTTAATATTTTTATTCGCATTTTTTATCGCAACAGTGTACTTTAACTATAAGACATGAACTATCTGCACGGTCCTTCTCAAACTCACGTTTTCGCTTACATACACTTATCTCCATTGACTCTTAGTTTCTTTCTTTGTTATTCCTGCATCTCCCCTCTATACATTCTATCAATATTTCTGGTATTGGTATTTCATGCCCTCTGCCCTGCATTCTGCTTTTTCTCTCTTCCTCTCTCCCTATCTATTAATCTTCATCTCCTTAGTTTTATCATCTCAACTTTTTTTCCTCTGAACTCCACTACGAACACTCTCTTTATCCCTCTATTAATATGGTTTCTTTTCTTTCCCTTGCCCCTTCTCCTATCTTCTTCCTCTTTCCTCTTTTTTATGCCCCCCCCCCCGGTTTCATCATTGAATTCTCGTTTCTCATCCTTTTCTCCCTTCTTCACTCTCTCCCTGCCTCCAGGTGGCTCATGGCCAGTGAACTAGCTCTCCAAACGATTGATTCCGTTCGATTCCTGGTTAGCGCAAAAATTAAATTGTCGCTTTTCACTGATTTATGCCAGTTCTTAGAGTGGATGGTTGACAATGTGAAAGCTTCTGGCAAGTAGAGCATGCCAAATAGATGACGTAGGGAGTTTCGACCTGCTTACCGACCCCACAGCCGTGAGGGTAGGACTCCACGACATGATCCCTGTCCTAAGAGGCTGTAGTGCCTAGGGATGGCAAAAAACATCGATGGTTTTAAAACATCAATATTTTATTCCAGAATCATTGATATATTAACATTGATCTTTTGTTTTCGATATTTTTTCAGATCGATATATTGTTTTCCATTTTCAAAAAATAGTTTATCTTCTTCGATGATATTCTAAGTGGTAATATAGTTTAACTGCAGTTTTGAACCTTATCTATATGGAACATTAAGTAAAAAAATTAAGATGACGGAGTGTTTTGAGGCAAAATATACTTTAAACTAAAATGTACGTATAATGTATATTAGATACAGGAAGTTTTACTTCGATAATTTATGAATTGAGATGATTAGATGCAATAACCGCAAAACAGGATATTATTTTTAATTTCCTTCTTAACATTCGATAAGCATTATTAACATGTTACTTATTCGTGATCAAACTAATAAATAAAATAAATAAATAACTAATAAAATATACTGGTATTTCGTTTAAGTACTCTAATTAAAACTCGAGAGAGAATGGAAAAATACCATGTTTTATCATCTTTAAAACATCGACGCTTTAAACATCGATTTTCTTGTCGATGTTATCATCGACATCGAAAACCTTTTAATAGGGAGTTTATGCCACCTCGAACATTAAAGCACTATCGATCTTCTTTTCACGCGCACTTCAAGTTTCGCACCATTTTATTGCATCTGCGCATGCGCAGAAGATCGATAGCGCTGACGCCAAGACTGGCACAAACTGCCTACCGATGTATAGAAATGTCAGTGTCTCGACGTTGGAGACCCACCAGGTAGGCAGGCGACTCGGGCGCGAAGAGCAGCGTGCCGGCGAGCAGCAGCAGCGGCGGCAGCGCGCACATGGCCGCCAGCGCCTTGGTGCCGAACAGCGCGCCCCACACGTACACCCACAGGATGCCCACGGTGATGAAGAGCTGGAAGCCCGAGCCCAGCGCGCCGCGGATCTCGGCCTCAGCCACCTCGCCCACGTACACCGGCGCCACCACGCTCACCGCGCCCGTCGCCAGACCTGCGCACCACGCACCGCGCACGTCACCGCGAGCTACGGCTGCGGCGCAAAGACAGGCGCAGGTTGGGGAAAGCGTTCAATAAAGGCTTGAACCCCTGAAATCATTAAGGTGTTCGGGTGTAAGTATTGATGGTGTCTGCCAATTTACGTTTCGTAGGAAAACGCAATGAGATGCCACCGCTTCACCCCAAGCAGTGGAAGGACAAGGCCTCCGACTGGCGCGTAAAGACATGCACAGGTTGATGAAAGCGTTCAATAAAGTCTTGAACCCCTGAAATCATTTAAGGCCTTCGCATGCAAAATAATGGTAGTGTCTGCCATTTTACGTTTTGTCAGAAAATGCAAAGAGATACCACTGTTTACTCAAAACGAGCTTTACACATGCAGCAATGCAAGAGGGATTGACGTATTTTTTACTGTGTTCTTGAACTCACTTGGACTATAAAGGTAGCTTCTTCG